GATGCAGCATGAATGACAAGGCCTTATAATGACTACAATAAGAATTTAAAAGGTAACAACACAAATAAGAAATGCAGGATAAACTCAGGGACATGCCATGTTTATTCTGAGTTTCTAGACATGAGTACCGTTCAGGAGGTTTAGGATATTGAGATGTTTAGATTGCTGTGATGTAATTGACATCTAATCAGTGCCAAATTTATTCTGCAGCAGGACAGCGAGTCCAAACATCCATTCAGCATCGTAAACAGCTATATTCAGCCACAAGAAGAGTCCTGCATGGTGTGAGCAGGAGCTGATTGGTATAATGAAGGGCAGTAGTTAAACGATCTGCCAGAACAACAGGCCAGTGTCACTGGGATCCGTGGCGCACAGTAGGAAGAGGCGCTGTGTTCGACTCAGGCCACCAAGAAAAACGAGTTGTTGTGTTTTAGAACTTTCTTCAGTGTGTCAGACTTGAGTGAATCCAGGCCACCGTGTGTCAGAGAGACGTGTTTGGAAATAGCCTAGTTTATGCAAATCATGGGAATTGCACTCTTAGAGTTTTAAAAGGGCAAGAAGACATGCTTGATGCATTTTCTTAAAACGTTTTCTAAGTTTCTTTTTGGAGTGTTTTTGAAACCTCCTGTTGTTTACATCAGAAACTTCTCCTCTTTATGCTCATCGGTACATTTGGAGCTACAACAATTAGTCGACAAAACCAGTCATTTCTTTAAGGATCGACACCAAAATCAGATTGATTCATATTGGAAATTTGAAAATGTGCTGCTTTTTCTTGTCTTGTATTGAAGTAGATATAATAGTGGTCATAACGGTAAGACAAAACAGAACATTGAATGTTGTCATCTTTTGTTCTGACAAATGATGATGAGCATTCTTTCCTGTTTTCTGACATTTTATAGAAGAAATGATAAATAGAATAACAGATAATAAAAAAGTTGTTGTTCCTTGGAGCCCTATGGATGTCTGTGTATTGTGGTTCAGTAATTGTTTTACTTTGTAAGAAATGCTGAAGAAAATCGAAACCCTGCGCAAAACTCTGTTCTAAAGTTCTGTCAAAGCTACTTGCTTACATATTCCAGAATTGGTAATTTGCCTGAATTGTACATAAAGACAACAAAAATGACATACGCAGCTCTTGTAGGGATGACATGACTTTGCCCTGACCAGGAGGTGTTCATCTTTAAGTCTTGTTTTATCTCCCAAACAAACAGTAACCAGCTGACTGTACCGACCTTTATGTGAAACAGTGGGCAGTGCTGATACTGTTGTGTGTGTTTGCTCTGATAAAGATGGACCAAATCTAACTAAAAAAAAAAAACTAAAAAAAACTTGTAGTTAATCTGGCTTCATGATTCCTGTTAAGAGCTGACAGTCAAGTGATTTGACTTCATATATATTTTACTAGACTGTGGAATTGAATCGAACAGTCCAGATTAATTTTATATTCTACTACTTACTAGAAATGAAACTGCATGATATTATTTCTGTCTGTTATGAATAATGAAATATATTATTTCATATTCTATTATTTACTAGGATTTAGTTTTATTCTCTTTTATTTACTTTTTTACTTCTGGTTATACTTCTCTAGTGTTCGTGCTCTTTCTTTTTTTTTTTCTTCTTTTCTATATTGTTCAACTTCTACATCACATGTTTTATTCATATTGTTTACGATTAGTGGTGAACTCATTTCCTTCTTATCTCATCCACTACTTTTCTATCTGACATTTCATTCCAGGACTCAGCACAGAGACGGGCCCAGACGGGTGTTTTTCTAAGAGAGCCCGAACAGAGTGGAGTAACTGTGGGGAGGAGGCCAGCTGCTCACAGCTGCTCACAGCGACCACTGACACACTTCACCCAGCAGAGGGCAGCAACACCACGCAAGAACATGGCAGCTGTGTGAGCGGCCTGACAGATGATGAAGACGGTGATGAAGGGTCAACCAGCTACGTTGTTAAGAGGATATCTGCATTTCTGAGCGAGACGGAGCCATACATCCTGGACATCGACCTGGATTTCTTCTCGTGTAAAAATCCCTTCAAGGAGCTATACACGCAGGTACATGCTATATAGAGACTCAGTTGTTTTCATATTTGTTTAAAAACTAGAACGATGCATTTAATCAAACATCTACAAATTCATGGCAGCTCTTCCATTCAATTTATTTTCAACATTCATTATTTAAACTATTATCCAGTAACCCTTTATAGGGCACTCCTTGAAATACTTGGAAAATGACAGTTTCAACCCTAAGGTGTTATTGAAGGATATTTCAAGATATTTTTACTTATAATTTTAAAGAAATGTCGCAAATCAAGATTAGTAAAGTTACCATATATGGTAACTTGCCCGTCCACGGTTAAAAAAGGGGAATTTATAGTAAATAGAAGAAAAAGTAAACATTTATTTAGAAACATTTTAGTTTGAGGTAATGATACACAACCAGTAGCAAAGTATTTATAAAGTGCTTGGCAGGTTCATGCAGTAAGATTGTTCTTGGGGTAGTGGTTTTAGTGGCACTAATCTCAAAGAATAAATCAAAGTGGAGTTCAGTGCAAACCAGTAAAAAAGCAAAGTGTCTGGAACATTTGTTTAGTGACACTTTTTGTAAGGTAGTGATATTGGCACTAATATAAAAACTAAATCAAAGCACACATGGTTGTTCAACCTCAAGGAGAGGCACAGGGTGGACATATGGAACGTCCAAGGAAGTTAACAAATATGATCACTTGCCCCATAAAGGGTTAAGAGAACTTCTTGGACAGCAGACTTAAAATAGAGTTTGGAATGATTCATCATTAAGCCGCAGAAAGTTCCTGTGGCCTTGTAGAGGAACAGTCTTTTGATTTCCGCATTGAAACAAAAGGGTTGCTACCACAACAAGTAGAAACACAGCGCTTGGACTTATGATGGTAATAATGAATGTTTTTTAACCCCCAAACTCCCCGGAGTGTTTGAAAAGGTGTGTTATCTTTAACAACTGTAAAAACAGAAAGAAATCCTCAATTTTTAATGTTGTGACTGTTTCTTAAACTACTGATTTTGTCTTTAGCACAGCTCACAATCGTGAATTCATCAAATTCTCTTTATTCTGTCTCTTTTTTAAGATTTGCCATAAATAGACTGTTTGCAGCAAATCCTGTATAAAACTATCATTTCTGTGCTCCTCAGCAGAACTGATGAGTCATGACTGACTCAGCTGTGACCAGAGAGTTATGAGCTGAGCTGCAGGTTGTGTTTGCGCAGAGCAGAGATGAGACGACATCTAAGTAGAAAAATGTCTGTAATATGTAGAGTCACCCCTTTTTTTGGGTATTGGTGACACTTGTGGGCACTCGCAATAATGATGTACTTGTTGATTTTTCAATTTTTGTTCAATGAATTATCAAAGAAAGCCAACTTTAGTTTTTTCTTTTTGTGTGATTTATGAAATTACAACTTTTTTATACTGCAAGAATCTTTGAGGTCTCTCTACTTCTAGCTGTGGTTGTTCTGTTTCCATAGAGGTGCAGGACTTTGTGGTATCGTTAAAGGTGACTGACCTGAATGGAGTTCAGGTGGTAATAACAATAAAGTCTACACAACATTACAGTAAAAACAAAAGAATGAGGGAATCATTCTTCCGAGTGATTTTAAAACAATGCAAGGCCCTCCAGATGTTTTTACAGTATATTAAATAAAACACATCTCCTACATTACATATAGAATTTTTGGAAGATGGAAATGATTTTTTAAGTTAATTTTGCTTTTTAAACCACCCCATTTTGGCTTTTTTTAAAATGTATTTCCACAGTTCCTAACCTGTACGTCTGTGATTCATAGCCCCAGAGGGCAAAGATGAAACTTGATCAGATATAATAGACACTGACTGCACATTAACTGTTCATATGAGACTTCTTGCTGCATCCAAAACATTTTTAATATTTGTTTTTGATGTCAGTTTTAATCTGCGTGTCATATTTCCTGGGTGTCTGTGCAGCACAGTCCACTGTCAGCTCAGTTCAATCCTCTTTTGTTTTAGAGGTGTTCAAGTATCTCCTGACAGCTGAAAGTCTGAAACATGTTACATCCAACATGTCTGTCAGTGTCAAGCAAGAGAAGATATTGGAGTCAGTGCTTCTTAAGACTTTTCAGGACCTGCGGACAGCCTGTAATCATAAAAGCTGTGATCAGAGCGTCTTCAGTCCCATTTAAAGTCCCCATCATGCAACAGAAAGCTCGAACCACCAATTTTGTTGAAAATGTGAAGTGGTTTAAAGTTCCAGTTCGATTCTGCATCTCAAAAAGTGTGATGTCTAAGCGTAAGTTAATGGCATATAATTCATATTCATTGGATTCGGTCCATTTCCATTTTGCTAGAACACAGACAGATAACTGCCTAAAGTCAAGAGGATGTGCCCGTATAAAGCTGTGCATCTTTATCAGGATTTCACTGAATTGTTACATGAAGTTTGTGTTTTCCTGAACTGATCTCGGCTCCTTGTTGTGTTCAGGAGGAATATTCCATCCTTAAGGAGCTCTACAACTTCAGAGGACCCAGTGTGAACGCTGAAGAGGTCAGCCTTTTTGTATGAACAAATCATTACACAACAGTCTATCAACCAAACATCCTCTTATGCAAACAGAGTGGAAACAGAGAAGTCATTTGAGGTCTGTACTATGAAGCAAGTACAACATGAGCAGGGAAGCTTTGCTTTATCTTCACTTAACCTGCAACCGCCGTCACATAATTGACTTATAATAGACTTATCAATACCTTTGCCTCGTTTAAGGCTGTGAAAATGTTTAATTATTCATGAGCTGCAAAGATACAGTGATTCAACTATAACTGGATTAACATTATGTAACACAAAAACTACAGGTGTAGTCCATTTATGCTAGCCACAAGACGACAAAAAACGATTTGAAGAATAATGAAGTCATACAAATCGAACTACTTTCATAGTGATGTGGAGAATTAATTCAGTGTTCTCAAATTCAGTGTAATATTCTTATCACATATAAGACAGTTTTATTGTCAGACTGATCAGTAGGTTTGCTGTTAATCTTATCAAGTCGAAAAATTACAACGTGCTTTATCACTCTGTCTTTTAGGATTATATTGATCCATAAAGGTCCGTAGAATAATGAAGCTGCAGCTCTAAAAACTGCCTCCTACTATCGGCACACAGTAGTGATGATAATGTCCAAAAGAATGTATTAGTCAGTAGGATGTGTTTTAATATGTGTTGATCTGTTATCTTGAACACAGTTCAGTACATGTTACCATGACGATGTACACCGTTAAAAACCATCGTTGTCATCCTGGAAACCTCGAGTTAAACCTGAAGTTGCCGCACTAACCTTAAATCCTGCTTTCATTATGAACTTCATGCACGGTTGAACTTACTCGTATTTAACTTTACTGAAGCAACCACTCACTCTGACCAAGTGAAAGAGAAAACTGTTCTTAGTAAGGTTTCTGGAGCCACACCCCAGTGACAGGGCAGAGTACATTAGCTGAATAATTGATGCTGTGTCTTCTGCTGTGGTTGTTAACATTAGACGTGTGTGTGTGTTTGTGTGCAGGAGGAGCTTGATGAGTGTGTCGATCGTCGTATACGTCAGTTGGAAGACCTGGAAGCAGCTTTTGCTGATCTGCTGGAGGATGATGGAGAAGAAACGGTGACACGCTGGGCCAGCAACCCCGGGTACACTTCCCCTGCCATTTTCATTTGTAATAGCGCATCATTGGCATTTAAACAACATGCTGCCTTATGAAGGACTTCCATGTGAAGTTAGTTATTACCCTAATTTTTTGACTATCAAGCGCAGCTGAATATAAGCTGCACCCACGAACTTAAAAAAGAAAAAAAGTGTTGTACATATATCGACCGCACTTGTCTATAAGCTGCAGGTGTCCACGTTGTAACATGAGATATTTACACAGAAAGATTTTTTTAAACTTTTAATTAAATACATACCGGTAACATACACAAATACGTTCCATAAATGCTTTTTTCCGAACAGTGCCTGGTTAAGAAAATAAGAAATACAGTAGCCTACGAGGAAAAGTCATTGATCGCTATCTTCATCTTCCTCCTGCGCACTAAAACCACTAAAGTCGTCTTCTTCAGTGTCTGAATCGAACAGCCTCAGAATTACTTCTTCACACACTTCCTCAGTCTCTCTGTCGTTGTCGCTCTCAATGCCACTGTCGTCTCGAGACAAATTCGTAAAAATCTTTAAAATCCTTAAATTAGCTGCATCACTGTTTAAGCTGCAGTGTTCAAAGTGTGTGAAAAAAAACATAGCGGCTTATGGTCTGGAAATTACGGTAATCGGTTTATTTAAAAAGGGACCATGTACAATATTAAACTCATTGTATTGCACCAGAGTTAGCTTTGACCTAGTTTCCATCTGCAATAAAAACATCACAATATTAAAATGTCACAAAAAAAGCTGGACTATATATAAAATACACGACACAGTGAAACAAAACATTACACACACACTCTTAAAAGCACATATGGACACACACTCACACACAAATGCAAATTAAAAAGACATTAATGGTTGCAGTTCTGAGTGCAAGTTTTTCAGTTTGTTTTATCCAAATACTGACATTAAAGGTCTTCGGTGCAGTTTCCTTGTTTTAAAAAGAAAAAAAAAAAGTCTCTGTTTACTTTCAGGGTTACTCTCCACAACACACTGTGTGTATCTTTGACAGCTAACAACTATACTGAATTTAGTTCCTTATGAAATGTTAGAAAAGCACATTTTTCACGCCTGCATCATGATATCCATGTTTACTTGCAGGCGGTAATCTTCTTCTTTGCTGCCTTTGCTGGCACATTGCTGCATTTGTATACAGAGGTCATGTTTAAACAGCTGCCTTGAGTCACTATTTTCTCCACAGGCTCACTGATTCTTTGTTATTCTCATGTCAGTCACTACATTAGGAATTTAAAGAACAGATAAAGCTTGAGTTACTAGAATTATAGATTAAATAACATAAAATAAGGACTTCATTTTAAATTGCAGAGCTCCCACTCCCATCTGTTGCTGTGCACTGATTGGCCCAAGAACTGAACACAAGAAACAGCTGCACAACTTCCAGCTTCTCCTGAGAACAGAAAGTAGATCAGACTAAATGTGTTGGACACGTCTACCAATTATACCAAAGTCTGGGAACATCTTGCATTCATCAAAAGAGCTGTATGAGCTGTAATCTATGTGGTAATGATTTTCTATAATTGGTTATATATATTTACCTGATCTACATGATGGAGCGACTGGAGGTGAAGTTAATCCAGCTGCTGGAAACAGCTGCTCAGCAAGAACACATGTCCACCAATACCAAATTTATCAGTCCAGGAAATCTAAATGAATGAACAATCACAGCATCACTGTGTCCCTCAACCTGTAAGTCAGTGGACCAGTACGAACAAAAGAGGGACCCACATGAATTAAGGTTGTTAACATCAATGCACTTGTCATGATGAGAATCTGTCAGCTTGTAAAAAGAGTCGTATAGCTTCTCTGTGACACACTGAGTGCTGTGGCTCTGTCCCTGTAAGCCCTGATAGAGACCTACACCAGGACCTTGAAACTGAAGCAGCTAAATAGAGCTCAGCCGTCACACACTGGATTATTTCCAACCGCTTTTCAGACTGTCACATATCAAAATGCCTGTAGGCTCAGAAATCTGTAAACTGGCCTCGGTAGCAGCAGATGTTTTAACTTTTCACTGCTCTCTCAAGTAAACGAAAGAGTAAGCGACAGAAACAGCGACTGTGTGTCATCATACTGTTTGTGTCTTCTTTTCAGCATGGCTTCATTAGCCCAACTGGTTTCTAGTTTGAAGGCAAGAAATCCAAGTCCTGACTATGAAATGGTGAGAACGATGTTCTGTAACTGTACGTAGAAGTAACTTGTGGTTTTGTTGGTGCATTTCAAATCATCAAGGACCCTCTGCTCAACCATCTGGTTTATTTTTTTGTTAGAAACTATAAATATTTCAAGTATGTGTGAAATTTTAGATGAACATTTTTTTGCACATTGAACTTTGAGGCTATGCTTGAACAACAATATCTCAGGAACTATTAAAGATAGAAGCCTTGAGTCTTCACGGTTATTACACATCACGTCATTGATTCAGAATCTCCAATATTTGAAAAGTTAATCAAAGTATCTCTGAGTAGAGGTGAACCATAAGTAATTGCAGTATTGCATGTTAAAGAATATTCTATATGTTTTCTTTTGTTTGCTAATACACATGGTTCAGGAAATATTCCTGGTTGACTTCTGCATGAGCATTATTTTGTTATTGCATGTTCAAAGATGGAACTGGGGCATCTGCATCCAAAATTTAATGGGTTCTTTCCTTTTTTGATGCTCCACCAAGTTTAATGAAGCTTAAATAAACGTGAAGTTCTTCTTCTTTCCTTCCCACCTTGTTTCATCTTGTTTCATCTCCTGCTCTGCTGCTTTAACCCTTCTGCTCTCTGTCAGGTTCACCAGGCAGGGTTGACCTGTGACTCAGTGGAGCTTCCTCACCACATCAGCAGCGACGAGGAGATCGACAGACTCATCTCAGCGGTGCAGCTGTTCCTGAAGGCTCTGCCCACTCCCACTCTGGTCACTATGTCCAGGTGAATAAAACAGCTGCAGTTTACACAGCTAAGCATCCTGTCTGTCTTTGTGAAAAGTGTAGAAGCACAGAAAGGCAGGTGAAACACTTTTGTTCATGTGTGTTTGCAGGTCCAGTCTGGATGAATACTGCCCAGTGGAGCAGGTGGATTCAGTCCAGAGCAGAGTACTGGCTGTACTGGAGGCCCTGTACGGAGCACTGGACTTACACAAGGACTATGAAAACAGCAGCACAGACACTCCGGACTGCCAACCACAGGCCTCCTAACAGACACATAAAGACACTTTCAGATGTAGTTTTTTATCAAGAAATGAAAAATGAAACATCAGATGCTGTTGTGGTGAATTTTAAAGGAAACATCTGTCTTATGTCCAACAGCTGGATCCTGTTCAGAGGAGGTTTGACATTATGTCTGAATGTAATGTTACAATTTGGAGTGGATGTAGTTTTTGTAGAAGGCACTGACAATGTTTACATACACAAACTACATGAGTGTGAGTTTGGTTTTTTTTGGTCAACAAATCCCATCTAACAAGTACTGTGTGTGTGGATCAGAGCCTGATGTATCTTGTTTGTTTGTGCCATAGAGCTCCATTGAAGCTCATCAGTCAGCCACACTGTTGCACTTCATGATGTGTTCCTTCATTATGGGTCAGTCAACATACATCAACATGCTGCCCCAAGTTTGGATCCATCTGCAGCTCAAGAAAGTCCCCAATAAAGGTATCACTATATTTTTATGAGGTGTAATAAAAGATGTACACTTACAGTAGAAACCAATGCAGTCAAAGTAGGAAAAACAGGAAGTGAAGAGAAGCAAACACATTGTTGTTTTTGGTCTTTTCATGAGCTTTTTTGAAACTAACAAAATTATTTCCAGGCTTATTTTTCAACACAGAAGACCTTTATATGTTCTGCTTCGTTCAGGACCAGTACTGGGTTTGCACTGGTGTTGATGCTGCATTGAGATGCAGTGTGTGCTGCTCTAAATGTGTTATGCTGCTTTGAAAGGAGGGAACTGATATGTTTCATGTGTCAAATTAGTATTTGTGTACAATCCTACATTATGATGGCATCATGGTGATATTTATTAATATAAAGCTTTGAAACCCTTATGAAATCGTGTATTTAGATAAATGTATGTAGCTACAGAGAACTCAAACAGATGACACAGAAATGTTGTACTTGATGAGTTACTTGTTGAGGTAAAAGATCAGATTCAATATACAGTCGTTCTCAAACATATTCATAGCCTCCCATTAAAGAAGAAAAAAACACATCTGTCAGTGAAATAAGTTGAAATTGACAAAAGTAATGTTTGAGCCAATCACTGCTATCAAGTGTTTTCTGTAACTCTCAGTCAGACTTCTGCACCTGTTGACAGGTATTTTGATTTTGGCCCACTGCTCATCAGCAAAGTGCTCTAATTTGTACAGGACAGGTTTTTGTTTGTTTGTCTGTTTTTGAATTCTTTTCTCCCACAACTCAAAAGCAATGTCATATTTCACTAAATTAGAATTTAACAAAATTGTATTTATTATTACTTTTTTTAGTTTCTAGTTATTTGAGGGGCTGCAGGGTGGCACAGTTGGTAGCACTGTTGCCTCGCAGCAAGAAGGTCGCCGGTTTGCGTCCCGGTGGGGGCACCGGAATCTTTCTGTGTGGAGTTTGCATGTTCTCCCCGTGCAGCGTGGGTTCTCTCTGGGTTCTCCGGCTTCCTCCCACAGTCCAAAAACATGCTGAGGTTAATTGGTGATTCTAAATTGTCCGTAGGTGTGAATGTGAGTGTGCTTGGTTGTGTAGCCCTGTGATAGACTGGTGACCTGTCCAGGGTGTCCCCTGCCTTCGCCCTAAGTCGGCTGGGATAGACTCCAGCCCCCCCGCGACCCTAATGAGGATTAAGCGGTGTATAGATAATGGATGGATGGATAGTTATTTGAGTTACTATTGTGAATTTTGCCTTTTCTTTACTGGAAGGGTTTGAATACATTTGAGGACGACTGTATGAGAGTGTTAAAAGTTTGTGAACCGTTGGTTTGGTGCAGCGATGAATGCAACTAATTTCGGCAAATAAATCTCCTTTGTTCGTGCCGTCATACACCTCCATGAGCACATGTTGTAAAGATCAGACATTGATATGTTCTTGCTCTTTAAATGTCAGAAACCGGCTTGTCCCTGATTGTCATCCCGTTGATTGAAATCACTTCAAATTAAAACTTAATCCTACAGGTTCGCCTACTTCTGCTATTAGCAGACATGTAGTCTGTAATACTGGATCATTTTCCACAGTAAATAATTCACCCTAATGCTAAATACGTGGCCAATTGTAATGCTTTCTTGTCTTGTGTCAATTAGGTTCTCTTTACAATTCAGTGTATTCACCAGAGTGAGCTAAACTAGTTAGGTTTCATTTTCCTGAAAGTCATGTGGTTCCTGGAAATGAAAACTTACAACTCTGTTTAAGGGAAGGGAGGGGTTTATGAAGGGCAGATCCAGAATCGATTATTGTTTGTCTGTGCTTTATAAAAGAGCAGAATGATCCAGTGAATGAGTCCAGTGATGCTGAAAAGTCTGAGAAGTCTGATGACAACACAACAGCAGGAGGAGAATCTGTAGTCCAGCCTCCTGTACCATCTGCAACCGATGAAAACTTTTATTGTACAGTGACATACATTTTTACAACAGTATGATTTCAGTTTCACTTCAAGTGAAGTTTTAGATGGTGCGATGAAATACAGGCACGTAAACTAATGTGTGATGTTTGTAGGCTGTGACCCTGCAGCAGGAGAGACTGATGAAGGTAAAGAGTCCATCAGTGAAAGCAGCTGGAACGTGTGTGGACAGTCCACAGAGCAGGGTGATACAGGGAAGGACGCAGGTCCAACATCTCAGACTGTTTTAACAGACACCACAGAACGTGAGTAATGCTTTTCGTTTGCTTTTCGTTTTGCATTGCATGTCTGCAAAATCTGGGTAATGTTTTTTTTTCTTTATAAATGCACATTCTCTCTTCCACTGTGCTGTGGGCCTGCAACATGGCCGGGACAGACCCTGG